ACAAATGCTCGCCAAGCGCCTCCAAACCCAGATTTTCTCACGTGCAAAACGCCTGGCGCTGGCCGCTCGGCGTCCCTTCTCCTTTTTCTCGGCATGCGCTCACTGGCCCGTGCCTGCCTGCGTAGATCTGGCGGCTTGCATCGGGCCATATGTCGGCGACAAACCCACTCGGCTGCCAGATCCGTAGAACTGAGTTGGGTTGTCTGGACCCTCTGCATGAGAAGCCGACGCACCGTAGCGTGGAGACACTCTATAGCTGATATGTCTGGGTATATGGTCTCCGCAGTGGCCTTCAGGATCGCCAACGCCGCATCACTGGACAGCCCTTCCGACTTAAAACGCTCTCGCCACTCCAACGTGAAATCGTCGAGAAGGCAATCGGGCTCGTGCAGAACGACCTCGGTGAACGTTGGGTCCTTCAAACACAAGAACAGACGGTACGGGTACGTCTCGTGGTGCACATGGAGCAGCTCTTGCACGCAACACAGCGCCCTAGACAACAGCTTGAATACACGATGCCTGCCGTTGACTGTGAACCAGGCGCGGGGCAAGTGCACCCATTCAATTCTCGAAGTGAGCAGGAGCTTCAGCTTCGCCAGACAAGTCTCCTCCATCTCGCAGCTGGCGACCTCGGAGAGCCTGTATTTGCGTTCAGGCCCAGCGCCAGCATCCGATCGACGTGCCTGTTTTGCTGCAATGCCCCTTTGGCGCCGATCCCAGCGCGCACTCGTCAGGTCAAACATCGAAGACATGTGCTCCCTGAACGGATCAACGACCTTCCTGAAGACCATGATGATGCCGACTGGCTGGGTGCTGACCCATTTCAAACCAGTTTTTCTCCACCTGCTGTGGTTCTCAGCGTGCGACCCTGATGCATCGGCAATGCCTGTCTCGCTGGCCTCAACGCCGCGGCCGGCCCCAGGAGCAGCATGCCCCTGATCCAAGATGGCGGGAAGCGCGGCAGCCCCATGGCCCAAGGCGCTGGGATCGGCGAGGTCACCGTCGGCGACTGCAAGCATGGGGGCGGCGCCGTCGGCGACAGCAAGCGTGCCACCTGGGCGACGGGCGGGTCCGAACGACTCGCAGAAGCGCAAGTAGCTGTAGAAGCCGATGTTGTGCACGCAGAGTAGCAGGCCGACTTCGTCGAAACTGATGTCGGCACCAACCCAGCGGTGCTGTGGATAGAGATGCAGCTTGTGAGACGCAAGTGCCTTGACCAAGACCCGCTTCATGATAAAGCACGCTTTCCTAACATTCGGCTGGGCACCATCCGCACGTGGTGGTACTATGAGTTCAATCGCATCTTCACGCCGCCACTGTCCATTCGGTAACCTGGAAAGCAAAACTCTTCTCTCAGTTGCATTTGAGCCCCGAGCAAGAAACAAATCCAAACAGTGTTGCCTATATCTGGAAGATTCCAAGGAAGGGTAGCCAAACGAAATTCCTTTGGGCAACCTCTCATCAACGTCCCTCATAATACATCTACGCCATCGGTCCATCAAACCAGGGCTCGTAATTGACAAGATGAAATTCGTCATGCCTGTGATTTCGCTGGCCTCGCAATCGAATGTTCGCCCTTGGCACCTGGCAAGAGTGTGGACGTCGCACGTCAGATGTGCCCCACACCATTGGTCGCCCCTGCTGTCGATGAGATCCCGCTCGGCAATCATGTTCGACGGGTGCTGGTCGGTCGTTGACAGCCGAGCCTTCATTTCAAACATACTGGTGTGTCTGCTGCAACGGGATGCTCGGGCCACTGCAGCACTCATGATGGGCCCAGACGAACTTTCAATGATCTGAAGGATGTTGAGCGTCAAACCATGCATTGCAACGAACTGGGTGCGGTCGTCCTGCAGGATGCTGAACAGCGCCATGAATCTAGATTCTGTTTGCAATAATTTGGCCAAGGAGCTCTCTTTGCCCAAAAGATCACAAGTCAGAAACTTCACAATGTGGTCAACGTCGGCACAGGATGCTTCAATCTTAGAACCGTACTGGAGAGCTTTCATCACCAATTTCATTGGAGTCTCATCAAAGCGGCTGTACTCTAGAAAATACAACGGTTTAATGTGATCGTGTGCCTTGCACATGTCGGCCATTGTGCGCTCGAGGTTGTACCTCTCGATTTCATCTGATATTGCCAGGCTACTCGCAAACGTGTGCAACACCTGAGAAGAATGTTTGCTACTGATTGCAGACAGCGTCGATGCTACACGGTCCTTCGTCGGAGGTGTCATGTGTGAGTCACAGAACAAGGCCTCCAAGTCGCGCCAAACTGAAGGTATTTCAAAAGATATGAAACGGTCGTCCAAACTGAGGCGCCTGACAACGTCGTAGAACGGTGTGAGACCGAAATCCAAATTCGCAGATCGCTGATCCATCACGTTCGTAATCTCACCGTCGGTGCAACACGGTATCGGCACGTCAGGCTGGGGAACAATCAAACTGTCGCCGTCGGCGCTGACAGGCCCAGGCCGAGGAACAATCGGCCCTGCGTCGAGATCAGTAGAAGCCCGCTTAGCTGCCTTAGCTGCGCGGGCGTTCGCACAGATGTCATGGCGAGACCTCGTCTCTGTGGGGGCCGCGCGTCGGCGGCTCGCGCCGACGCCGTTGGAACTCACCACCAAAGTCGAGGCTGGTGCAGTCAACAGAAATTCATCATCGCTGTCTGGCTGGGCGAGGGCACCCACGTGTGCCATGGACGCATGAACTCAGGCACATATCATTTCTTGTGTTGGTGTGCACGGAGAGAGAAAATGCTTCGTGCTCCTGTGGCACACACGGCTGCGGCGGCGGCGACGCCGACCCCAAAGGCCCCAAGCTTGCCCAAGAGAGCCTCCAAGACTTGAAAACAAAACGAACGCAACGAGACAAGGAGTGGTACCCCATACACGTTTCAACGCCTTCCACATTCACGCATCGAGCACATCTGTTTTTTTAATGAATGCACAATACAATCCACCACCCCTGCCCCGTTGGGGCCGTGTTCTTTTGATTGTTTGCCAACCCTCTCGTAATATTATGTTTTTTCATCGCCCCCCAGCCTAATTTTTTTTTTAATATTGTGAAAAGAACTGCTATATGTTGCCAATGTTTTTTTTGATTTTTTCCCAGAGCTGCCCCCCCATCCTGATGGTTCTGTTGATTTTTCCCCAACCAAGGCCCCCCCACCCTAATGTTTTGGTCGATTTTTCCCCAACCGATGTCCCCCCACCCTAATCTTTGGTTGAATCTTGTGATCCTAATTCCGTTCCGGGTTCCCCTGAAACCTCGGGCAGAGGCCCCTAGCAGGATCAGAGAACCACAAGGCTGGGCAGCACAATCGGGACACACAAACTCCGATTTCACATAGTCCAAGATCTCTTTCTTGGCGTGTGCTGCTCGGAGAATACGGAGGAACAGGGGAACGCGAGGGTGTCCTAAATTGACATGTACCTTCTGAACTAAATCCCTCACCCTCGCATCCACTTCGAGCGGGGGCTCAGCCGCCGTGCTGGTGTCGACCTCGCCGGCGCGGGCGTCCTCCTCCTCCCCAGCATCGTCAACAGGTCCTCCCGGGTCCTCGGCCTCCTGCATCTCCACGTCTCCTTCCTCCTCCACGGCTTCCAGGGACGAAACCGGAAACGACCAGGGTTCAAGATCCAGGGTCTCGCGGCCAGTGACGTGAGGTCCCAACCGACGGTGGGCCCAGGTAACCATGTCTGAGACTCTCGCCTCGGCTCCCCTAGACTCCAGGGCCTTTCGAAACACATGCGTCAGATGCTTCACAAACTCCGGGGAGTAGATCTGGGATCGCCGAGCGCATGAGCCTCCCTCCAGGAGGGCGTGCTCATGTCCTCCCTGACACTGATGCTTTACTAGGCTCTGCAGAACGCCAGGACTGTTGGACATGATGCGGGTCCGCTTCTTGCACAGAGATCTGTCCTCTCTCACAGACAGATTAAAGCAACACATGTCGAAATCAACAGTGCTGACCCCGGGGACCTGGGCAAGGCGAGTCAGGGGACCCTCGGACCAAGACGACGCTCCGGCGGGGTGTTCGAAAGCAAAGACTCGGCCTGCCTTGGACTGCTCCAGAGCCAGGGTGACCGCAAAAGCCAGAAGCACTCTCCCCTCCTGCTGCCTCCTCGCTCTCTCGAAAGGGTCCATCTGCTTCTGAGACATCCGGTATATCGCGCTAAAGACGGTGCAGGGTGGACTCAGCATCAAAATCTCGGGCCGCTTTTCTCGGATCAGGGCCAGGGCTCTGGCCCTGTGGGAGACCCGGGTAAAGTCCCACCCAGTCTGCAAATCCAAGCTTCCCTGGGACCTGATCCCCTGTTTTTCCAGAGACGGGGCCAACCTGGGTGGGGAGAAAACCTCAATGAAACCTCGTTCAAAAAGGTCCTTCCTTCTTCGCTTGAGTCCTCTATTCGACTGACAGACTGGAAACGACAAAGGCCCCTCCTGCTGGCGCGTTGAAGAGAGAGATGACGGGGTTCTGACATCGTCGGTGGGAGGAACGTCGTGGGGCGGATCTGGCGAGGCGTCGGACCCTGAGCCTCGAAGCTCTCGGCCTCCTGGATAAGCTCCGAGGTCTGGAGGTTGTTGTTCGCCGGATATCCCCAATCCTTTCGCTCGCCCCAGGATCCCCATCATTTTCCCAATATCCCTCGCCATATGCTTAGAAAAAGCCGATTCATAATCGTCGTTGAACTCGGCTCCTTCGGTGAGAAGGGCATGCCACGTCGGGCAATGAATTGCAAGATGCCATTCTCCGTCGAGCGACCTCTTTGAATGTGTCTGATAGGCCCCGTCGGGGCCTTGGGTGATCCACGTAGTGTTCTGTGCTACCTTCATCGCCCTTTGACCTCGCTCGTCGGAGCAATATGGCACATAAAACAATTGACTGGGGTCTGCGCTCAGCTCATTGACGGCGGCTCGCTGTATGTCTGCGGCCTGGTGTCCCTCCAGCTTCAGCTCTCGGGTCAGACTGTCCCAATCGAGGCATTGAGTCGTTCCTAGCTCAGGCGCTTCGCCGGCACCGCCTCTAGGTTCGGACCGATCAGGAAGAGCGTCCCAGGATCCGTCTCGAAGTAGATCTCGCCCTTCTCCACCCACTGGCGCGTCACGCCGGGAAAGGGTAGATTGAGCGTCACCGGACCGTCGGGAGCCGAGGTCTTGACGTACTGGATCTGCTCGGCTGGGGAAAGGTGCGAGACGTCCTGCCATCCGTTCACCGTCACACCCGAGCTGGCAGCAGCCGCGGCAGCCTGCGAAGCCCCCGTCGTGGCGTTCGCGATGACCAGCGCATGGCTCTGGGTGTGGGCCTGGAGGCACTGGATGGCCTCCTGCTGGGTCGCCAGAGCGGCTCCCTGGGTCGCCACCTGCCCCTGGACCTGCCCGAGCATCTCCAAGATCTTCTCCTGGGTCTTCAGCATGTCCTGCTGCGCCTTCAGATTGTCCTCCTCGGCCTGCTCCATGGGCGCCCGACCGCGTCTCCGAGGAAGAGCGCCCACCTCCATGTGCTCGTACTCCTTCATCGGGGGCCCTGGGCGGTAGCCTCTCACCGTCGTCGGCGTGAAAGGTGCTCCGGCCTCCGGCTTCGTGGACGCCATACTGGACTCGAGAATGCCCTGCGCCGTCCCGCGAGCTCTGCGAGCGCTCGGGCGTGTCACCGGAGGACACTGCCGCGGCGCCTTGGACTCCCCCTTCAGGATGGGCGTGGACTCGTAGCTCAGCCTCAGCGCGCAGCTGCCGCACTTGTGCCACTTCGCATGGCGGTTGCCCAGCAGCATCTCTTGGTCGAGGGGATGACGGCACTCCAACTGTCTCGAGTCTATAGTGCGCATTCTCCTGGGCCAGTCCTGCGGGAAGAGGCGGCCCGTGACACTCATCGTCAGAAGATTGGCCCCGAGCGTCTCCTCGCGCATCAGCGAGCGACTGGCTAGGGCTGCCCAGCGAAACTCCCTCTTCGCGATGCCTTCGGGGATCGGCTGATTCGTCGCGATCCAGACCTGAGGGCCGTCCGCTTGGGAGCTCATCGGGTGGATGAGGTCGAATACTCGAGTCGGTAGTGCTGTTGTCGTGGTCGGCGTCTGCTGAGAGCTTGTTTGAGCCGATCGCTACGGAGGAGCGGTGGTTTCCTGACAGGGTTCCTGAAAGGGACTTGCTCGGTGGAGTGGCGCCCCGTAAGACAATATTGGGCTCTGAGCCGGACGTCGGACGTGTGGGGCGTGTCGCCACACTGATAAGTTTTTCGAGCTTCGTCCGACATCTGGACGAGATCCCCCGGGGGCTGCCCAAGTTCCGGACAGCTCGGTCCAGAACCTGGCTCCCCACCATACCTCCTGTCTCCGTCTCCTCCTCCTTGATTTGACCCAAGGATCCTGGTTCCGTCACATTGCCCAGTCGACCCAACCGCTACGTAGTTACGGGACTTCGAAGATGAGGATGCTGTTCCGACCTCCGAAATAACTGTCTGGCGGTTCCTCTGCTTGCTGATTCCCTTGTGTCTCCCCGGCTCCTTGGCCCGGCCCTCGCAGCAATCGCTCGAAACACCCCCATCGCTCGTCGCATCGGGTCGGACCTTGTACTTGGGAGAAAGGCAAAAGGCTCCCGGCTTCAAGTCGTACTTGGCCGCCACAGCAGTGGCACTTCGAATTCGGCGGGAGGGCCTAGGCGATCGATACTCACCACTCGATGGCCGCTCGGGAGCTTCTCTAGTGGCGTCTCAACTCCCAGCTGAGTGAACTGTACACGGCCCCGGGGCAAATCGATGACGGCTCCCAGCATTTCTTGCATGCCCACTGGCATGAGTGCCGGGAGCTCCTGATTCACGAGGTCTATCTGCATGACACCTCCGCGGCCCTCCAGGCCTAGGGGGACCAGGATGCCGGATTCGACAGGAATGTGTCCCCCAACGCCCCGGGCAAACCTATTGCTACTCTTAACACGGACTACCTGGTATCCTAACTCACTCAACCTTTTCTCTAGAAGAGCCAGCGACTGGGGGCCAATGAGGCCTTGCGCCGCTGCGGTGTCCACGATGATCTTGCCGCCCTCGGTGGTCAGGAAGATGTCCGGGGCCGTCGCCTGGCTGGGGAGACTGCGGAGGGCCTCCTCGCAGCGCTTGACCACCTCGCTGAGAGTGGCCAGGACGAGCCCCGAAGCGTCGGCGGACGGCTCGTTCAGGAACACGAAGCCGTTGGTCGAGGACTGCTTGTTCTCCGGGCACTCTCTGGACCAGTGCCCCTTCTTCCGGCACTTCTTGCACCTGGTGACCTTCATCAGTTGCTCGATGCTGAGGCGCTCCCTCCTCGGGCGGTGAGCTCCGCCGCTGATGCCGCCTCGGCCGCCTCCTGGACGCAGGCCCCCTCCCCCTGGTCGGCGTTCTGGTCGCGAACCTCCGCCAGGATGAGAGGGCGGTGGGTAGAACTTCCTGTCCACCTTCACCTGGCGCTTCATCACTTTGTTTTCTTTCCACGTCTTCTTTCGCTCCTGCTGGAGCTCTGCCAGAACGAGAGGTGCTTGGTCTTCGTCAATATCGGCCGAGTCGATGCATAGCAATATCTCGTTCTCCATGTCGGTGTCCACTGACAGCTCCGATTCGTCATCCTGCTCTCCGTGGTACGTGCCGGAGCCTTCCTCGTCCTCGCCGAGGTACGTGCGTGCAGCGCGGGCGGCTCCGGACAGGGACTCGGTCTTGGACAGATCGAGCTCTCTGATGGCGTTCTGGAGATCTTCGTACTTGCCCGAGCCGCGCGTCAGCACTCTCAGCATCTGCTTGCCACTGTCGTCCAGGTTCACCCCTTCCTCCATGAAGAGGTGCATCCACTTGTCCGGTAGTGGAAGTCCCTGGGCACGTAATAAATCGAACTGCTGTTCCATGCGCGCGGCATACATGGACAAAGTCTCTCCAGCTTTGCGCTGGTACCCGAAGAGGCACTCTCGGGCTGCTCGGCGATCCTCATCATCCACTCTCTTGCCGCTCATCGTGTCGAGCCGCTTCACGATCATGTCCGGGCCTACACTTGACATCAGGACGTCGTCGCTGATGTCTTCCATCTTGCGCTGGAGCTCTAAGTCCAGCGTCTTCAACAACTTGTCGGATCTTTTCTGAATCGGTACGTCTGTGGACGAGAGCCAGCGCTTGATCTTGCGGCGCCAGATGCGGAAGCCCGTCCACCCCATCCACGGGTCCGGGTCCGAATAATCTGGCTTGGACCAGGACTTCTCGTGCCATGACCAGCTGGAGGAGCTCCAGTCGTGGCCTCTCCATGTCCACTGCCCGTCGTCGTCGTCCTTCTCGTTCCCGTCGTAGCCGTGGCTCTTGCCGTCCGAGCTCTGCCACCAGGGTTCGCGCGTACCTCCCCACGAGGTGCCTCGCTCCCACTTCCCTGCTGGCTGCTCGTCTGGCTCCTGCCGGCCGCCCCACGGGTCATCCTGGGCCCACGGGTCGTCGCGAGCGTGCCGGCCCGCACCCTCTGTCTCGTGGACCGCCTCGGTCTTGGTCTCCGGAGGTCCTGTGCTCGCTCCCTGCTGCGAAAGGTTCCGCAGCTCGTCCTTCAACTCCTGGAACTGGTGACGGCTGCTCTCTCCTATCAGCTTCAGCAGAGTCGCTAGCTGTTGCTCCGTGAAGCCTGCTCCCTCGCTGTCACTCGGACTGGTGGCACTATCCTTTGTCTCCGATCCTGCTCCAACCGGTCTCCAAACTCCACCACTGTTACCTCGTCCACTGCGGCTGCTGTGCGCGGACATCAGTCGCGCCAGCAGCGAGCCCGCGGGATTCGATCCACGGGCTCCGCTACCACTGACACGCCAACATCGGCAGCGGAAGCGAGCAATGATGGTTGTCAGACCGATCGCAAGATAAGAACACAGAGGGTGCCCTAAGCCAAGATGATTACGGGCACGCAAACACACTGAAATCAACATAGTTTAAGCTCATACAAGTGAATTCCTCAACATTGCCGGTTCGCGTTCCTGGGGTCGTCTGGGAGTCCTTTTGGGCCGTCGTGAGCCGTCCTGGCGCCCTCTGGGGCTGTCTTGGGGCCCTCTTGGGGGCCTCTTGGCATCCTGGGCGGGTTTCGGGGGACTCTTGGGGCCGTCTTACAGCGTCCGAGGCACGAAACGTCGAGACGCCGAAGAAAAACTTCTAGACAACTCTGATCATTCGCGATTTCTGCCTCGGGCGCCCTCGCGCGACTCTTTCTGGAGCGCTCCTGGGGCCTCGGGGGATCCTCTTGGGCCGTCTTGGGCCTACGCTGGGCATTTGCGGGCGCCCTTGGGCAAGTCAGCGCGCGAGTCCAGAGCCTCCCGTGCCGGCCGGAGCCGCTGGGAGAGCAGCTGCCCCCCATGGTGTGCAGAGGTCCCTGGGTCAGAGCCCCCAGCCCGACCCCCGGCATATTCTTTTTGTTTTGTTTCTCTCTCTCTCTCTCTCTCTCTCTCTCTCCATCTCTCTCTCTATATATATATGTATATATAAATATGCATATATATATATATATATATATATGCATGGATGCATGTATGCACGCATGCATAGGTTGCATGATTGCACGTGTGTATGTATGTATGTCTGTGTATGGATGGATGCATGTATGCATGTACATATGCGTATGCATGCATGCATGTGTCTGTGTACATGTGCATGTGCGAATGTGTGATTATATGCATGTACATATGTACGTGTGCATGCATGTATGTATGTATATGGGTGAGTGTGTGTACGTGTGTATGTATGTGTGTATGTATGCATGTACATATGCATGCATGTATGTATGTGTGTACGTTTGTGTGTACGTATGTGTAGATGCGTATGAATGTATGTACATGTCGATGCGTGCGTATGGATGTATATATGTATGTATGTACGTGTGGTTCCATGTATGTGGATATGTATGTGTGTAGGTATGTATATATGCATGTATGTATGCATGTATGTATGTGGATGTGTGTGGATATGCGTGTGTGCATGTATGTGAGTGGGTATGTATGTGTGTATGTATGTATATGTGTATGCATACATGTATGTGTATGTATGTAGGTATGTACACTTGTAAGCACGTAAACACGATTGTATGCATGTTCGTATGTATATACGCATGTATGCATGCATGCGTGCATGGCTGCATGTATGTATGTACGTACGTACGTGTATAGATATGTGTATGCATGCTTGTGCGCATGAGTGCATCAGCGTATCAATATATGTGTGTATGGTTGTATGGATGTGTTCATGCACGTATGTGTGTATGTGTGTATGTATGTATGTTTGTATGTATGTGTATGTAAGTGTATGCATGCATGTGCTGATGCATGTATGTACGCATGTGCTTGTGATTGGTCTGTGTAGGTGTAGATGTACACACACCATGCCCCACCCTACTGGCCCCGAGCCAAGGCCAATCCGACCGTCCCACCACCCCTAGCGAAAACTAGACAGAATACAGTTCGCGGCGACGTATGGATTATGTTCGGGCACCCCGCGATGACTTCACATTGCTTCTTGACAGGGACGGCGAAGGTGCCAGCATGTTGCCTGGCGTGCAGGCCATCCATCCAGATAAAAAATCAATGCGCAGCGCACGTTGCGGCAAAATTTTGAAAACATGCGCGTGCGACCCACGATCATTTTGCAGTGGTTTCTGATAGGGATGACGGGGGTGCACCTGGCTGGCATCAGCAATGGTTCCCGTTGGTCCCTGCCGATGCTGAAACTCGAACGCTTCTTATGAGGTGGGAGGGCGAGTGGGAGTCAGCAAGACGGCCGTCCTTCGAGGGGGTAGCTTGACCCCCTCCCCTACCCCATACCCTTGGTCTAGACCCCCCCCCGCGAGGTGTCAGTGGGTCGGTCCTCTTTGGCAGAAAACTGCTGGCCCTCAGATGGGCTCTAAGATCGCACAAGATAGCCAACGATGGCTCAAGGTAGCCTCCAACATGCCTGCAAGAGGCCCCATGACGTGGAGCCTCCCAGGGACGCCCCACTGGGAGGCCACATTCTTTCAAAACCTGTGAAGGAAATCAATGAGTTCTGCCTTCTCGTCATTTCGCTCCTGATTGGCTTCTGAAGTTTCCAGATGGCTCCACGATGACCCAAACGCACCCAAGATCGTCCCAAAAGCGCCCCAAGAGAGGCCCAAGGTGTGATTTGTCGTCCTCCGACGGGGGGGGGCGTAATTGAGTCCGCCTTCTTGCTTGATCGATAGACTCGAAGATGGCCTCAGGAAGCACCCCAAGAACCCCAAAGTGCCCCAAGACGGCCTCAAGAGGGCTCCGACGGCTTCCAAAGTTGCTGCAATAGGGCCCCGAGATAGCTCAACTAAGTTGCCAAGAGACTCCCACTTCGAGAGATTTGCGAAGGCAATTCAGGTTGAGGTCTGCTCGGTTGATCCCGAGCTCCAGTTTGATGGCTGTCCCCTCTCTTTCGTTCCGCTGCTTGCTCCTACGGTTCCCCGACCAAGGCAACGCGCATGGGCATCGTTTCTGGATGAGCTGGTTGGGGTACGATCGGGAACTTTGGCTTAGCGTGTCGCGCGGGTGGCCCCAACGACACGCCATGCCGTGCGAGCTGATAGTGCCTCTCTCCACTCCGCCAGCAGGCAGGCCAGGACAAGCTCTGGACGTCGACGCTTGGGGACTAGGACGTGCTTCGCGTGTCGCGCCGAAGCGTGGCTGGACCAGAACCGGCGGAGCGACGAGCTCAGCAAACGTTCCTGACCGTACGCGCGGGGTCATCACGAGCGGCGAGCCTATCCGCATCCGCGCCCTCGCGGTCTGGATTCCGGGGCACGACCCCGCGGATAGGCGGTCGCACGGGTACGTTCTGCGCGGGACATCCGCGAACAAAAAGCGCATCGTATCCGCGGGGTGGCGGTCCAGGGGTCAGGTCTGCGAGGCCACGAATACGTTCGCCCAGAACTTTTGGCCCTTACCAGGCCTCTGGGGACCTTCGGGGGCATATCTCTGGAGCTGGGGCGGCATCAAACCTTACAAGTTGTAGCTCGATGGAGTTATTCCCCAGCGAGAAAATACGACGCCCACTCATCCCACGCGACACACACACACCACGACAACTGCAGACACATCGAGCACCCCGCAGCTCCATGAAGTAGATAAGGTTGGCGAAGATCAGCGTGATGAGGGTGACAGCGTACAGGAGCATCGGAAGGGCCTCCGCACGATCGGTCGGCATTGACGAGTCAAGTCAGGGTGCACATATGCGTGCACGCTGTATACGCGCATACAGATAGACATGTTCCCCTACGTGTATGTATATATCTCTATATATATATACACGCAATGTACGCCAGCGTGGATCCCGAACAGTGCATTAATGCACGGTGGAGGTGAAAGCTAATCTGCCACAGTGGCCTGGAGCACGAGTTGGGGTGTCCTCAGGTCCCTCGAGTCCGTAGCCCTCAGGTACTCGTGTTCTATATTTTTTTTTCCGAAGCCACGAAGACCCCCGAGTCGGCCCAAGAGCGCTCCAAGATGCCCAGGGGGGCTCAAGACGACACACGAGGCCCCCAAGACCCCTGAAAGGGCTCCAAGAGGCCCCCCACGAGGGCCCCCAAGAGAACAAAATTATTGATGTGATTTAGGCTTGGGCAACATTTTGGCGTTGGCGCCCTTTCGGGTTTCCGACCGACCAAGACGGCCAAAGATGCCCCAGACGGCCCAAGAGGCTCCCACGAGGGCCCCCAGGCGACCCAAAAGGGCCCCAAGACAGCCCAAGAAACCACCAAGACGTCCCAAGACGGTCCCAAGAGGGTGAACTCGAATCAACATTTCGAGCCATCCCCCCCAAGGTGACCCCCGAGACCGCCAGCAGGCTCCCAAGAGCCCCCCACACGATCCAGGAGACCCCCAAGCCCTCGAGATGCACCCAAGACACCCCAAAACTGCCTCCAGAAGGCTTCCGAGAGGCCGCCGAACGGATCCCCAGAGGCATCAAACGGATTTCTGACATACAACCTATGAACGGTTGCGGGATGGACCTCAGGACGCTGAATCTATAATATCAGAAGCATGTACATATGATGTCAATCATCTACACACAATTACTAGAACCCTCGAGCGCGCTCAAGTTCGACTTGCCATAGGGTCAATTGTATAGCGCATCGGAAGGCCAATGTCCAGATGATCGGGTCGTTGGCTTGGAAACCCACACGTTGGCGTCTGAAGTCGCACTGAGGCTTGGTATTCGCGAAAGTTCTGGGCCATCCTTGAGCAACACTGCAACTCGCTTCGAGACTCTTTGGGCCTCCGAGGCCATATTGGAGCCATTATTTCGCAACGTATCGCAATGCCAGAACAAAAAAAAAGGTTAGTTTTTTTTGGGGGGGGGTTTGACTGACTTGGCACTCTGACGGTCTCTTGGGGCCTCATTGCACCGCTGGGGGATTCCTAGGCCAGCCTGGGGGCCTCCTGGGACCGTCGCGGGGACCTTGCGGAACTTCTGCACAGCTCCGGGAGTCTCCTGGGGAAGCTCGAAGGAAGTGAGGAGGTGGAGGAGGAGGGTACATTGTAGTCTCTACTGGAGCCGCTCGGGGAACTCGTGAGGGCCATTTGGAGCCCAAGTGGCCACTTGGGCGTCTACACCAGGGGGCGGGGCGCTCTTGAGTCTCTCTTGGAGTTGCCTGGGACGCTGGTGGGACAAAACGTATGCCAAACAGGCACGTTTTCCGAAAGGAATGGGGCGATGCTTGCCGCTCGGGGCCCTCGGCAGGGGCTCTCTTGGAGCCGTCCCGTGGCGTCTTGGGGGCCTCTTGGGCCGTCTTGAGGCCACCTTAGGCCGTCCTGTAGCAGTCTGGAAGCCATCTGGGACGTCCCGGACTTCTGCCGTGGGCCCCAGGGCGTCGGGAAGGCTCCGAGGACGCTCCGGGAGGGGAGGAGGCACTTAGTGTATCCTGGATGCCCCTGGTGGTCTTTGGCCCCGGGTTTCCTGGGGTTGGGCTTCTGGTGTATGAGAGATGTACATCCCGTCTCCAAACAGTGTGTTGCTGCACTGTGGGGGTGAAAGCCACGCAGTGCAACCGATGTGATGGAACACGTGGATGACGAGTCCCTGTGTGCAACAGACGCGGGAGAGGTGGGGAGGGTACACATTCATAGGGGAGGATAGCTCATTCATGTTGAACAACTGCTGACGGGGCAGAGACGAGCGTTTGCAGGGGTCTAACCATGCCCTAATGCTATCGTGGTTGCCAACATCTGGAGCAAGTAGGAGGAACGTGGAGACGCAATGGGGGAGGGGTGGGTCAGGGACACGACAGAATTCCTCCGTATTCTTCAATGGCTATATGGAAGCATAATGGGTTCTACTGGGGGTGGCGAGAGGGGGGAGGAGAAGAAACGACGAAAAGGAAAACGCGAACGGAAGACGACAAGGGACGATGAGGAAGAGGAGGAGGAGGAGGAGGAGGAGGAGGAGGAGGAGGAAAAGGGGGACAATCATACATATTCCGAAGGGAATTCAGTAAGGAGGAGGGACAGGAGGAGAAGGAGGGAGAGAGGCAATGCGATGGTTCTACTGAATTCCATGGGGCTGACAGGGAGGAGGGAGAGGAGGAGAAGGAGGAGGAGGACAATGAGAAGGAGAAGAGGAGACAACAAACGAGGAGGGAGGAGATGAGGGAGCATGAAAAGGATGTGGGGGAGGGAGGAAGGGGGGGCGGGGGCGAAGGGGATGAGGGACAAGGGGGGGGGAGGGAGGGAAGGCACAAATTTCCCATCGCATTGGGAGAAACTAGACACCTACCTTGAACAGGCCGTTTCCAGTAGGCGCCGGCTGGCGGAACGCTCAGCCAAGCTGCCTCCTCGCCACCCCCCTTTTCGTCTCACCACGCACTGGGCGACAGAGGAACGGCGACGGGCGCCGAAGGCGGCTTCCCCCACCCCCGCCACCCCAAAAAACAGCCCGCCCAACGCACGCTAGACCTCCCAACGCCGCTGCACTTAATCAGTAACTCTGGGGACGCAGAAAGGGAAAGCAAGAGAGAGAGAGAGAGAGAGTCTCGATTTAGCAGTCCTCATCGGAAATGGCGCTAACGACACGGGCCGCGAACGAGACCGCGTCCACAGCTCCAGTCTCGACATGCTTCAAGGCGGCACTCCCCCTCCACGTTCCAGCCTCGAGCTGGGGGCCACGACGCTCCCGGGCAACCAGCTCGGCGGCGCGCCAGGCGCGAAAGGCCTTGAGAGAGAAGCCCCGGGGCTGAGCTGCCCAAGTAGCCAAAGCAACCTTCGACAAATCCCAAAAACAACCCCAGCACTACGATGCTGAATTCGCTGGCCCCCCATCGCTCTCGAAGCATTGGGCCACTTGCGACACTTACGCGGCGCACTATACCCCGCGGGCGCACGGGCGCGGCCGACGAAGCGTGAAGCCTGCTGCCCAGCGCTTTCTCCAGCGCAGCCGCAAGTGCAGGGCGCCGATTTCGTCGACGAAAACAGAACTGCGCCGCCAAGCCAGCGGCGTCAGAACAGGGCTTGCTGACCCCGCCTGCAGGACCGCGCATTCGCTCTGCGCGCGCGAGAGGACTTCCAACGCAAGAAGCACCGACGCGGCACAGCTCGCCCGCTAGCGAAGCGGAGAGCGCGCGCAGCTGCTCCGGCAGACTGCGGCGCAGCTGCTGGGTCTCGGACATTGGCCCCCGCGCAATATGATCCGCGCGTTCGCCGGGCCCTTCAGCCGCAGCCCTGCCCGCGGACCGCGCCAAGACGCGCCCGCTCCTTGCTCCGCGCGCGTCCACTTCAGAAGGCGCAGGTCGTTGCGGGGCGTTTCTGAATTTTGGACTATCGCCAGGAACGTCAGCGCATGGCCCTCGCACTGCGGTGGACGAGCGCCCCCATCCTCACGCCGGAGCACGCTGCCAGGAAAGGCGCGCCGCGATCGAAGCGCAGATGCCCCCGGAGGAAGGCTCCGCCAATTCGCCCCAAGGCGCGCGATACGTCCACTGGCCCTCGGCACGTCCGCAGCCACCCCCGGCGACTGCAGAAAGACCGCGTCCAGCTGCGCGACGGCGGCCCTGGGCCGGGGCGACCAGAGGGCCGCCTGGCCCGGCAACCCCCCCAGGGCCTGCGCCTCCTTCTCCGCCGCGCCCAGGCGCTGCTCGGAGAAGCGGAGCGCCCGGGCGCTGCTCGGAGAAGCGGAGCGCCGCCGAGTCGCCAGAAGCATGCTTTGCCGTGAACGGAGCTCGCGCGGAAGAGCGCGCCGACTCTGTCGCCCACGCCAAACAGGGCGCGGGCGCCGGCGGCGCCCTCTCAACTCGAGCACGCACCTGGCCCCCCCGCGCGCTCGCCTCCGAGGCGCCGCGTCGAAGCAAGCCGCATTCGAAGGGGCCCCTGCCGATATCAAGCTATGTCTCCAGGGCCAACGCCTCCCAAGAGGCGCCGCGAGACCACGCGCAACCGAGACAACAGAATTGCTGTCTTTCTGCACTTCTCTTTGCCCGCCACTCGGACCCCCGCGGCCCCGAGACCGCCGGAGTGCGCAAACCGCGACTCCAGGCCATGAGCTGCCCGCTGGAAGCGCGCCCTGGCCAGGCCCGAACGGCCGGCGGGCGCGACTTCAGAAGGCCGCGAGCGGCGCAAGGAAACGCGAGGCCGCAATCTCTGCAGCGAAGCATTCATTCACGGCGGCGAGGAAGGCCACGCCGAGGCGCATCTCGAAAGCCGAACAGTTCAGGAGCAGGCCCAGATCACTTCGCAGCAGCGCCTCTAGCCCCACAAGCAGCCCTGCAAGGCGCGTGAGAAACCATGGAAAACTACGCAAGGGGTCGCCTTCCACGAAGGCCCCAACTAAGCAGTCGCGGATCTTCGCCGACGCCGCCGCCTGCGCACCTGGGGGGCCTGGCCTGGCTCAGGGGGCGCCCCGACGACGCAAGGGGGCCCCCGCCCATTGCGCCCCTCGGCGCCGGCGACGCAAACTAATCTTGCGCTGCCAGAAACGGCGCATTGGAGAACCCTCCCGGGGAGTTTCCGCCGCCACATGTCGCGCCTCTTTCGGCGGGCACCCCCCGCGTGGGGAAGCAAATCAGCCGGGCGCGCAGTCTCTCGAGGTAAATTTTTTCTGTCGCGACACTCTGTAGCTCGCGGCGCGACGCCTGCGACGCATCATTTCTCATGCAAATGAATGTTAATGAGGCCAGCTGCAAATTCGCAGCCGATGGGGCCGCGTGGGGAGCTAGGGGGGCCGCGGCCGACGCACCAGCAAACAATCGCCGCGGGGGGGGGGGCCGACACGCGACAGCGACGTTCGCCTTGCCATCGACCCTGCCCGGGCAGAGCAGACGCCCGCGCGCAACTCGGCGCGCCCGAGCCAGGCCCGCCCAACCAGCGCATTGCCCTCGAGGGCCCCCGCGGGCCCCCGCGCCGAGGCCTCCTGCGCCCCATCATTATATAATACAGAGCGACGTCAAGCTGTCGCGGCGCCGGGCGCAACGTGAGAAGGCAAAAAAAAACACCGCGAGCACTTCCTGAAATGCGACACGACAGTCCCTACACGGCCGGGACAGGCGCGGGAACTTGGGCGCGGATATATTCATAGACATACACACACACACATATATATATATATATATATATACATATACATACATATAAACGAAGCAGCTCGCAGCCGCGAGCCCCCGGCCCCCCCGACGCATCCGCCCGCGGGATGACCTGCCCCCACGATCGATCCCGGGCCACATGAATCGCGAGGGGGCGAAATTGCAACTGCAGCAGCCACCGCGAGGCGGCCCGCCGCCACCGGCGCGATTGATTTGACTGAGGCAGCGGATCGGGTCGCGCCACCCGGCATAATTAGCGCCGATCATTCTCTGCCGACTTGATCGGCTGCCAGCGCGACAGCAAAACTAAACGGACCTGCCAACTCGCCGCCTCCACTGGCACTGCGGCAATCTGCATGGAAGTGAGCAGAGAAGGGGGGCCCAAAGCGCCGCCTTCTCCGGCGCGAATAAAACGGACACCCGCCCGTCCAAGGGGGGGCCCTGCGCCGGCGCCAGGAGACCCTGCACCGCGCCCTCCGTCTCACCCGTATCCAAAGCTAGCCCCAGCACGCGAACATCGATATCGACGCAAAATCCCCCGGCGCCCGCGCGGCCCGCGGGGTCTGACCCAAAACATCCTCAACATACCTCCCACTGCCACGCGGAGCAGCCGCTGGCCGGCCGCCATCCCACGATTAGCCAACCGAATCCCCCCCCCCCCTGCCCGACATTGGTCGAAGCGAAAAGCGCGCCGAGATGCCGAGGGGCCATGCGCCCTCGCCACGCGGCCAAACCGAGCCGCCGAGGCAAGCGTTAGCAGACATGACTGGCACCCCCTTCAAAGCTTCCTTCACGCCCCTTTTCCACTCAAGCAGCCCCCGCGCGCCTGCGCGCATGACTTAGAGTTCGATCTCAACGAGCACGTCGACCGCGTCGTTAGACATCGCGCCGCAGAACGGGGCGCGACCCGCGCCTTCCACCCCGACGGGCGCTGCTCGCGGACGGGGGCGCGGCGCATCGACGTGGAATGGGGCGAGAGGACAGACGGGGGCATGGCCCCAAGCGCGCCCTTGTCAACGTACAGGCCCATGTCCCCCGGGTGCGTGGTAGGTCTGCGAGGTGACTCAGCACCTCCTGATTCAGCTCATCGGGATAATGCCGCCCAGCTCATCCAGCGGCGGGGGCTGCCGAAGTTCCCTCACCGCACAAGAAGAACAACATGCAAGAAGGGGCACGCCTGCAAGAGGGAAGCCGCGGAGACACCAGGGAGCGCCGCATCCGGCCATTGCGTAATTTCCCCCAGACGCAAGAGAATGCACGCGCAGTAAACCTACCAGGTCTCCACTCCAGGGCGGCGCCCGACGGGCCCTCTCCCCCCGAGCCCTCTCGAGACCCCCAACGCCAACCATCATCCACGCGGGAGTGCTGCCGGCAACCCAAAGCAGAGCAGCCTGCAGATCCCCTTCCAACTCAGAGCCGTCCCCAAGCATCGGATGGTCCACCGAGCGATCTCACCGCACGCGCCCCAAAGGGTGCAACCCGTTGGGCGCCCCTCACCCTTGATGGACAAAGGACAAAGGGCCACTTGAAATGTGAGCACTGCGCGGGTGCGCCAGGCTCGGCGCCGGGATGGGCACCGCGGCTGCCGCTGGTTGTAGTCTCTGACCCGCTGGAAATTTGTGCATCTTGATCTCGCGCTGAGCCTGCCGCGCGCCGCCTGCAGGGTGCTGAGGGCCTGGCTGCCCATGGGGCTCCCGGCCTCCCGTTGCCCGAAAAGCTCGGTGGAGAGACGCCTCCTGTTGTTGGACGCATCATTGGCCCGCTCATTTAGGAGTCGATCGCCGCCTGCTGCTGCTTGGCCAGACCGGACTCTTGCTCGGTCGCGGCGTCCGCCCTTGGGTTGGCGGCGTCGCTGTCGTGGATTCTCGCCGTCCGCAGCACGCTTGCCACTCTGCCGCGCGCCGCTGATAGCACGGGCCCGTCCTGGGCCTCGACCAAGTCATCGAGGACGAAATGCGGGATCTTGCGTCCAGCTTGACTGGCCCATACACTCCTCACCATCTCATCGTGGATGACCACGAGCAGGGGGGGGCGCAAACCGCTCGGACTCCGCGAACTGCATGTGGCATATCATCTGCGGGGGCGCGAGCTGTTCTGAGGCCACCGCGACGACGCCATACCGCATGAACGCCGACAACCGTTGCCACAGCGTGCAGAAGAAACGCGGGCCTGACGCGGCCGACGTCAACGCATTCTGGAGCTGCGCCAAGGTGGCCGTCGAGCTCTCGGCGCTGAGGAAGCCGTTCTCCCGGGCCAGCACGAGCTTGCCACCAATCGCCTTGATAGGCCGACACAGAGGAAGCACCTCCTTCGCCATGAGGTCCACGTAGGTGAATGGCTGGCGCCACTGGGCGCGCGCCACCTTCGTGTCCTTGTTCGAAGGCTCGAACACCGCCTGCTCGAGCTGCACGCGGATGAGAAGCGTCTCGCGCTTGGTTTTCGACAGGAGCACACGCACATCCACCGTTGACGTCGCGGGAGGCTACCACTGGAAGGCCAGTGCTAAGGCGTCCCCTCTAGGCGGCGACCCCACGACGCCCCCCGCAACGCCTGCAGCCCCCGGCGAAGTAGCACTGGCGCCCGCGATCGCGAGGCGCTTTGCTTGGGCGACGCACTCCACCGTGCGGAGCACACTGCGCAGGAGGCCCCGCGAGGCGATGTTCGTCGGTGGCCCTTGGGCCCCAAGCAGCTCCGAATCGCTGATCTCTTCCGAAACAGAACTCGAGGAGATCGTCGGGACAGCCATCAAGAACGTCCTACCCCCGTCACAACCTCTGGCGCCGCTGCCTGCTCGTCCACAGACTGCAGGAACTCGCGCCACTGTGTTTCCGTCCAGCTGGCCATTGCGAAAAGCTGGACGAATGGAAAAGTGAAGAGGTGTGACGAGAGCTGCTTGAGCCCAGATGGTCGCCAGATCTGGCGCTGCCAGAAAACACGTTGTTGAAACAAGAATGTTCCCAGCGAGTGCAGGCACAGGCTTTCCAAAACGCGTTTAGCATCTCTGGACACGCATCTCAAGCCACCTCCCCCCTGGGACAGTGTGCCGCACGACAAATATTGCAATGCTGGGGAAGGAAAAGGAGGACGAGGAGGAGGAGGTAGGAGGAGCTGGAGGTAGAGTGGAAAGAGCGGGAGGAAGAGGAGGGGGAGGAGATGGAGGAGGAGGAGGAGGAGGAGGAAGAGGATGAGAAAGAAGGGGGGCGAGCAGGAAGAAAGAGGAGGACGAGAAGGGGGGAGGGAGAGGAGAAGAAGGAGAAGGAGGAGGAGAAGGAGGAGGAGGAGAAGGAGGAGGAGCAGGAAGGAGGAGGGAGGAGGGGAGAGGTGGAGGGAGGAGGCGGGAGGAGGCGAAGAGGGAGGAGGGAGGATGGAGCGGAAGCGCTCCCCAGTCGACCCCCCGCGACTGCACTGGGGCCTCCATCGTTATCCTGACCGCCTGGATGAGCACGTTGAAGGTCTGGCAGCGCGGCGGCGCTGCGGCGAGGGGAGGCGGGACGAGGGCAGGGGAGGACGGCAGGGGAGGGACGGAGGGGGAGCCGGTCCCCTTCCTCACTCCTTCCCCGTCATGCAACAGCGGATCTGTTGAACCCGACCCCAGCCTTCGTGGGGTGTTCGAGTGGACCAGGAGTTTAGGGGGCCGACCCAGGGATATATCTATACATATATATACATATACATCTAAACATAATTCTTGAGTGTGAAACTAACCGTATACATATATCAGCCAGCGTTGACTCCTAATAGATAGGAAGACAGGAGGAGGACGAGAGGAGGATGGGAGGAAAACGAAAGGAGGACGGGAGCAGGACGGAAGGAGGACGGGAGGAGCAAAATCAGGAAAGCGCAAGCGAGCAAGCGGCAGCAAGCAAGCGCAAGCGAGCATAGGCATAGGCATAGGCATAGGCATAGGCATAGGCATAGGCATAGGCATAGGCATAGGCATAGGCATAGGCATATGCATAGGCATAGGCGTAGGCATAGGCATAGGCATAGGCATAGGCAGGGGCGTAGGCATGGGCGTAGGCATGGGAATTAGGGGGGAGGCGTAGGCCTAGGCATAGGCATAGCCGTAGGAATTAGGGGGGCATAGGAATTGGGGGGCAACGGACCAATTAGTAGGGTTTGAATGAAACTCCCATAGGACAAGCCTAGTTGGAGAATATAGTGAGGGGTGTCCCTCCTCGATAAGGGTGCATCCGAATAGCCCGCTCGGGGTGTATCTTAGGGTTTCCCCTTTTTTTCTGAGCGGTCAAACTTTTCGGGCGGAACTCAAGGACTGGGGGAGAACATCGCCAACGATTCTGGTCTCTGTTTTCCAGTGGCGCAGTCGTTTGACTGCCGCATTACCGCCCTCGCGATGTGACGGGCGGTGTGCGGGCGGGAGAGCGCCAGCCCTCAGGAGCCGGAGCCGAGGGATGGCTGATGACGGATCGGGCGAGGAGGAAGCCAACTGAGAGAAACTTGCAGGAGGAGAGGGCAGGGTAGTAGAAACAGCTTGCGCACCCTGGCTCGTGCGTGCAACACCCTAGTAAGAGCAGCGCTGGTCTTCTGCGCGTCGCTCCAGTCTCGATGGATGCTCCAGGAAGGGAAATGGACAGCACCAAACAGGGGAGGAGAAGCGTCACAGGAGCGGGGAGGAGAGAAGAGCAAGGAGTTAGTTGCTCCAACCTCCTTTCCTCTTGCTAGTCCAAGATGGTCTCAAAGATCGCATAATACAGTCCAAGATGACTCAAGATAGCTTCTAGCATGCCTCCAAGATGTCCCAAGATCGCCCCAAAACGGTTCCAAGTGGTCACGGAGCCTAAATAAACAAGTGGCACGCGTGCCCTGGCTCTTGCACATTTGAAGAGAGAAATAAAAGGAGGGGCATGTGGGGGGCGAGGGGGCCAGGGGATGGGGGGGCCGAACCTGTGGGACGGAACCACAAAAATGAAGGGTCCGGGCGAGGGGGGCTGGGGCCAAGGCCAGGGTCGGGGCGCGTGGGGGTCCAGGGCCAGGGCAGGGGGACTGAAGCTCGGACCAGGGGCCAGAGGTCCGGGTTCGAACCACGAAACTACACGGTCCGGGGCGAGGAGGGCTGGGGCGAAGGCCAGGGTCGGGGCGAGTGGGGCCAAGGCCAGAAAACAAGCTGAGTTCAAGGGCCAGAGGGCTGGGGCTCGGACCAGAGGCCAGAGGTCCGGGTTGGGGCGAGGGGGCGAGCGGGGGGCGGGCCACAGCCAGGGGGACGGGGGCGAGGGGAAGCGGGCCACAGCCAGGGGAACGACGACAAACCACGAACCACGAAAATAAAAACGCCAGGGCGAGGGGGGCTGGGGCCAGGGCCAGGGGACGCCAGAGCCAAGGAGGGAGGCTGGGTTCAGGGCCAGGGCAGGAGGACGGGGGCGAGGGGGCCAGGGGAAGCAGGCCAGAGCCAGGGGGACGACGACGAACCACGAAAATAAAGGGTCTTGGGCGAGGGGGGGGCGCCAGAGCCAAGTAGGGAGACTGGGTTCAGGGCCACGGGTGCGAGGGGGCCAGGGGAAGCAGGCCAGAGCCAGGGGGACGACGACGAACCACGAAAATAAACGGTCTGGGGCGAGGGGGGCTGGGGCCAGGGCCAGGGGACGCCAGAGCCAAGGAGGGAGGCTGGATTCAGGGCCAGGGCAGGAGGACTGGGGCTCGGACCAGGAGCCAGAGGTCTGAGTTGGGGCGCGGAGGCCAGGGGATGGGGGGGCAGGGAGACGACGACGAGGATGGGAAGCCAGAGCCAGGGGGACGACGACGAACCACGAAAATACAGAGGTCCGAGCTCTAGAACACAACCGTGCAAGAGAATCAAGAGGTCCGAGCTCTGGAACACCACTGTGCAAGAGGATACTGTCTGTCTTCTCGCCTTCTCGCTTCCAGTGGGCTCCTCTTGAGGCCTGAAGATGACTCCAAGGTGGCCCACGAGAGAGAGCGCCCGGAGGAGGAGGAGGAGGAGGAGGAGGAGGAGGAGGAGGGAGGAGGAGGGAGGAGGAGGAGGCGGAGAGCGCCCGCAGAGCGCCCCGGGGGGCAGTTTGCTTCGGCCTCCGAGGGCCGAAACTCGGACCCCACGTCTTTGATCGAGGGCCTCCAGCATGGCCCCCGGGGGCGCCTTCGAGGCCTCCGGGAGGGCTCGGCGGTGCGCACAAAGGGGGTACACCCTGCGAAATGCTTAAGAAATCATGGGTTAAGAAATTCAGAGTCTCAGAACTTGAATAAAAACCCAAAATTCCCATTCAAATCTTAGGATTTACATTGAAACATTAAGAATAATCGAGAATCTGGCCGAAAAAATAAGTTTTCTTAAGCATCGCCTAAGGTGTAGAGGGACGGGGGAAGGCTTCTTAGAAGGAGGCTGCTTCTTAGAAGGCGCCGGCCCTGCATCTGTAGATGAGGCTCCCGCCTTCCAAGAAGCAGGGGTGCTTCTAAGAAGCCCTCCCCCCTCCCCCCACCCCCCTCTGCGCGTGGCCGAAGGGCCCCAAGAGGGCCCCAGGAGAGCCCAGAAGGCATCCAAAACAGCCCGAAGGAGGCCCCACGATGGTACCGACTTGAGTCTAACAGGGTCCCGGAGCGTGACTGCACGCTGCTACACAGTTCGGGGCAACTCGGGAGCGTCTTCCATTGCTCGCTGGAGCGGCCGGCACCGGCCCGGGCCGCGCCCCCTTCCCCTCCCCCCCGGGTAGCGTCACGGTGCGGACCTTCGAGTTGGCTCTGGCTGTTCCTCAGCATTCGCAGACGGCGCACCCTTTCCCAATAAGAAATAATACTAAGAAATAAGAAGACAAGAAGGTACGAATAAGAAATAATACGTGGACATGAGGAACGTCCCGAAAACCAGAGCCCCTCCTGAGCCCGAAGTGGTTCTCGTTTTCAGTGTCAGGTTCGTGTTGTGTCGACCCCGGCATTGGTTACTGGCACTGCTGGGATCGTTGAACCTTCCCGAAAAGTCAAATCGTTCAACATCGACCGATTCTGGGTCACTGACAGCGTCCAACGTTAAGCGCCACCTGCGGGGTCAAGGCGGCACGCCTGGGGGGGAAGTAAGAAGGAGCAGGCCTTCTCAGAAGGCGGCGGGGCTTCTCAGAAGACCTCTGACCTTCTGATCAATGTTCTGTGCCTGTTGAGAAGGCTTCGAAAACTTCTCAGAAGGCCGGAGGCCTCCCGAGCCTTCTGAGAAGGCCCCTCCCCTGGCTCGCCGCCGAGGGTCGCCGCCGGGCGACAGGACGCGAAGCGGCCGCACCCAAGCTGAGAGCGGGCGCGGCAGATCAGTACAGTCAGGCCTAGGCCAGAAGAACATCCCTCAAGAACGTGACACCATCCGTCGGCCAAAACAAACAAAACACCCAAGGGCACCCTGCCCAGGATGCACACGACCATCCAACAAACCCGAAGAACGCGATGGTAGCCTCCCCGAACCGACCTCCATCGCATACCTCGGTGTCCGACTGCAAGGGGAAGCGCAGACAATAGCAGGAGGGCAAGGACAACGGCAGAGGCAGGCGTGCGGGAGGCCTCAAAGTGCCGTATGATCTTCAATAACCGGACGATCGGCACAATGCCCAACAGGAGGATTGTACACATGTCGTCCTGGCCACCCATGGCAGGACCAGTTAGAATCGAATCGGGCTGCATCTGCACGGAGTCGAAATCGAATCGGATCGGCTGCCTCAGGGTTCACAGCAGCACCATGCAGGCATCGGGCCGCACTCGATCACCAGAGAATCGAAACCGCATCAGATCGGTCTGGTCAAAAGGCGGCATCGAATCGGATCCATCGGATCGAAGTGGACCCTGCCATGGTCGTCCTGTGCTCTGGCCAGTCACATCCTGAACCCCCCTCTTCTTCTGCTTCCTGCTTATTTCATCAGCCGTCGCGCATGAGGGAACATTGGTACCGTCGGGAACGTTTGCTCAGCGCGTCGCGGCAGCGGCCCCGGCGGCACGCTACGTGCTGCAAGCGGACGGCGCGTCGCTCCGCTCCGCTGGGCGGGAGCATCGGCAAGGCCAGGGACGTGGACGCCTGGGGACCGGGACGTGGACAGCGTGTCGCGTGTCGCTCCGAAGCGTGGCGAGCCAGAACCGACGGAGCGACACTCGAAGCAAAGGTTCCCGGCCGTACACCCTGCGAAATGCTTAAGAAATCATGGGTTAAGAAATTCATAGTCTCAGAAGTTGAAAAAAACCCAAAAATCTATTCAAATCTTAGGATTTACATTGAAACATTAAGAATAAACGAGACTCTGGCCGAAAATTTAAGTTTTCTTAAGCATCGCCTAAGGTGTATTCCACCAGCCGTCGCTCCCGTGGGAGCACCAATCATGCACAGCGCGGCAGCGGCAGCCTCCGCGCTGGCGCGGGGCCTCGGCCCTGCCGTGGAGAGCCAGCGCCTGACACAGCTCTCGCGCGCTGGTTCGAGATATACCCGCCTCGACGCTGCAGAAACAAACTCATGGAACACTAGACGAGCGCGTTCCACTACTCGCAGACTACTCGCGAATGGCCTGGATCCGCCATGGGGGATCTACGATACATTAGCTCGATGCAGACATGTGTGCTTCGGACGATTGCGAGCAGGCACTTTACGATACATTAGCTCGATGCAGACATGTGTGCTTCGGACGATTGCGAGTAGGCACTTTGCGAATAGTGGAACGCACTCGGTGAAACACGGCTTCATCATGCTTTACCACCTCTCAGCCAGCACAGTGGAAGCATTCGCACTGCGCTGCTGCAAATTAGCCCCCTCACGACGGCGCTGAGCAAGCCTGAGGCCCGCCGATCCTTTCGAAGCGTGCCGTCGAGGACGTGTGCAACGCGGGCCAGGACAAGAGACCAATGCGTTGTGGGCGGGGGCCCCCAATCGGCCACTTATAGGACCACCTCGAACTTGCAGAAGCGCGGCGAATCGAGTGGCAAACAAAAGCACGATGTCAAGATCTCCAGAAAGGGGGAGGGCTCGCCGAGGGACGGAGCCGAGAAAGACCTCCCAAGCCAGCGGCCACGGGAACACGTTCTGGGCTAAGGCACGCTGGACCTCGGCAGCCGAGGTCAAGAGCCAAACATCGACAGAGCAATCGACACCAAAAACCAGAACCAGCCCGGGTGCAGCTCGCACGAAGCCCGAACTGGAGGCATGGCCGTGCAGGATCGGCCTCGAGTGCTGACGTTGCTGTAAGCTCGGACCGAGGGACATTCGGACAGCCTGTAGTTCGCCAACGGGCTCAAGCCAAAAAGAGAGGTCGGAGGGTTCCACAAGGCTCGGTCTGCGTAGAGGGAGACCAGAAGGGAGAGATAGACAGAGAGGCGGAGGGAGGGGAAAGAAGAGGAGGCAGAGGTCCCCGTATAATTGATGGCAGCTTTGAAGATGAATGCACGCGGCGCTGAAGCGAGAGTCGCATTGTGAAAACGGGCCACCGACCATCCGTGTAAGGGCTGAAAGCTTGTAAGACCAATGCGCGCAGCGCTAAGGCGAGAACCACACCTTGAAAACCACCGACCGTCCATCCGTGCAGCTATGGGGATATCCAGCTCCAGAAGCATCGATGTTGAGGAAGTCTGGAGCGAAATGCCCGGACGGAACTAACGACACGTCATGTGGCGCGACGAGGAGAAGTTGTTCATCAGAAGGAAGGACTCCGCACGAGGAAGGCGACGACGGGGACCGAAAACAATAGAAGACCGCCGAACAACGACGGCAACAACAGCAACGAGGGCGATGATAGCGACGACGACCACGACGACCACGACGATTGCGACGACGACAGCGACTACGAAGACAACGACGACGACGACGACGATAGCGACGATAGCGACGACGACGACGACGACGACGACGACCACAACGACGACAACGACGGAGGCAATGACGACGACGACAGCGACTACGACGACAATGACGTCTCTGGGGGGTCTCCAGAGGTCGAGGTCCCGGGATGTCGAATCCCAGGGATCCCTGGAGCCTCGGAAGCCTGAAGGTAGCCGGAAACGTCCACAGATGTTCGATCTTCAAACTCCGATCTCCGATCCTCGACGACGACGACGGCCGACGCCGACGACGGCGGCGGCGGCGGCGGCGACAACAGCGACAACGACGACGGCGGCTGCGGCGGCGACGACGGCCGCTCCCACGACGACGAGACCAACGACAGCGACCACCACCCCTCCAGGCTCACCGGGAGCACGAGGCCAGCCGCCACCCTCACGACGACCGCGCTCGCGGCCGCGATGTCGATCCACCTGCCCGCGGAATGCCACCGCTGCCGCCGCCGCCGCCTCCTCCGGCCCTCTCCCCTCGTACGGCAGGTTCGTGTCGTGTCGACCCCGGCGTTGGTTTTTGACACCGCAGGGATCGTTCAACCTTGAACGATCGGCCATTTCCGCGACGTCCAATCGTTCAACATCGACCGATTCTGGGCCGCCGCCGGCGTTCAACCTTGAACGCCCGCGCTGGGGTCGCCGCCGGTCGACACGACGCAAACCTACCGTACGTCACTCCCTCCCCGTCGCCACCCCCCCCCCGACGTGTCGGCAGGGCGGGCCAGGCGTTTCGCTGGAGTCTTTCCCCCGCCGCGTGTGGTGCGGAAGCTTGAAGCCTGCAGCGGCTTCGAGGGTGGAGGCTCTGACCTCAGCGCGGCGCGCACTCGGCGCAAGGGTCTGCAGTATCTGTGTGGCTGGAGGGGGATCCGCGCACGCTCGTTGTCAACATCCGCAACAGATTCGAAAATAAAGGGGGGGGATCCCACATGGCGCTCCTGCCTGAGCTGCGCGCACATTCGGTTTGCAAGTTTGTAACAACTGAAAATATGAAGAGTGTCAAAGTGGTGATGCCGCGGTGATGCCGCGCACATTCGTTTTACAAGCTTGGAACAGCTTCAAAAATGGACGGCAATCCTCTCTCAAAATGGAGCTCTCGCTTGAACGCCACGCACATCTGTCTTTCACGCATACAGCCGTTTCAAGGATGGAAGGGGTGGTCTTCAAAATGGCGCTCCTGCCTGAGGGCCGAGCACCACCGTCTTGAAATTCTGCCACATATTCAATGATAGAGGGGGTGCTGTTCAACATGTGGCTATAGCCTCGGCAGTGCGCACCTTCGGCTTGAAAGTGTGCAGCAGCGTTGAAAATGAAGGCAGGTCGTTTTCAAAATGGCGCTCTCGCCTTAGTGCCGCGAATATTCGTAGATCAATGCAGCAGTTACATAGACAGAACACGTTTTTCAAAATGGGATTTCGCTTGGGCCGATCTTCGATTTGGGGGTCTGGGTCTTACCGACATGTAGCATCGACACGGTGGAGGGCGGCTCCTTTTCGAAAAGGGGCTCTCGCTTGAGGTGTCCTCGAAATTCATGTCGTGACCCCAAAAGGGCACATAAACTCGTGAAAAAGACATACGGGTGAGGGGGCAGCCGTTCATCATGACGGTAATACTTCTGGGCGCCTCGCTGAACTGGATGACCCTGCCGGTTTCGTATTCCCTGCTGCTGGCTGGAAGGATGCAGGGCGGCTCCCTTGCAAGACGGGGCTCCCGCCCACATGGCGGGCCCGAAGAGCGCTGGCCTCCCAGGGAGGAGGAGGAGCAAGAGGAGTCAGGCCCTCCTGAGGCCCTCCGCCCTCCCGCGGCCCTCCTGCAGCATCGTAGATGGCTCTTGAGTGTACTCTGGTCCTCTTCCTCGTCCTCCTTCCATCTTCTAGCGACGGCGCTGGTTTTCAGAGGGACAGTAACAGGGAGAAGCTGGACGCAAGAGAGAGAGAGAGACACAGAGAGCGAAGGGAAACATCTTATCAGCTCATTGATGCCCGAGCGCATGACAGAGACATGGGCCAACTCTAATGCGGCGGGGGTCAGGATCGAGGTCGTCGTCACTCGCGCCTGCTCTGCTTTGTCCCCTCCTTCGAAGACCCCCGAAGTCTCCAGAGCATAACTGGGCATGTAGGGTTTGGATCTCGGGCGGCAATACAGCAGCCTACTGGTACCAGTCAGTACTTCTCCCCGCTCGTCGCGCTCCCGCTTGGCGGGTGCTCCTCCAGCTCGTTCACCATTCCACTCCTCACCCTCTTCACCCTTCCTTGTCTCTTTGATGTTCGGCAAACTTGGGTCGGCCAGGATCGTAGCGTTCGGAAGGCGACCACAAAAGCCTGTCCCTCACCCCTGAGATCGATATATATTTCTTTGCCGGCGAAGACCCAGGTTGCCCGGCATGGGGGGGAGGTGCCAGCCTGTAACCTGACCTTTTCGCTTTGGGCAGCCCCACGTATCGGGGATGGACAGACCTCCCTTTAGTAAAACGTGGTTCAGTGAAAACGACCTGAGGCACAAACCTGGCGGGCGCAAGCCTGGAAAATAACGGCCGCGGCGCCCTCTCGAGAGCCGAAAACGGACAATTCACTAATCGACGTGTCACTGTTGGGGGTTCTGTCCGCCCCCGAACGTATGCCTGCGCGCATCAGTGGTGCGTACCCTGTTC